TAGCATTTTTAGCCGTTTACAGGCATTCTAAGAAATGTGTAATAAAATCGAGTAAAAGGTACGCTATCGAAAATCATCGATAGAGCGTCGATTGCCTAATACATAGGTATCTGCTTAAGGACGTCTCTGATAACATGTCAGGTCACAGAGGTCAGGTCACTAAGGGCAACAATATGAACCCAACTATACAAGACTCGTGTGATACACGTTTTATGGTCCATTTTACATTACAGATTCAATATAGTTTGGGTTAGGCGACCATTGGGATCAGTTTAAGTTACGTGCTGGTGAAGGTTGGATCAAGGTCAGGTAAAAGAGTTCCAATTGCAAAGCTAATATTTTTGGATAAAAGGTGTGAGTAGGTATTCGATGCAGCTCATCACGGGGAATCCAATGGTGGTCTTAGTTTTGCATGATGTGGTCTGGAACGGTTAAAAAGTGAGTCAAAAAATTTGTTTTTTCTTTCGCCTTAACTTTGCCAAAAACGGAGCCAGCACAGCTCATTCCGTATGTCGATGGTAGACCGTTAAAACCATGAAAGATATTCCTTTTTCAAAATTTAAATTTATGGGATTTCGAGGGTATTTGAAAAAATACTTTTTGATTTCTTTTTTGGAGAGGCTAAGATATTTTTTTCTAATCGAGATAGTAGTTTTGTATATCGGTTAATTCTACACCTTCTATGTCTTGGACATTTTTTCTGTATTTTTAAATCTGTAGGCGTGACCAAGATTACTTTACTAGTTAGGCGTGACAGATCTTCCCGCGAAACTGTTTTTTTTTTGTCGAAAATGGCAGAACATTTTTTTTTTTTAAATTTTGTCCGAACCTTTTGATAGGAAGGATTCACAAGGACAGAGCCACCGCTAAGCGAAGCTTGTTGCGGTGACCCTGCCCTCTACCCTCCGATCGCGCAATTCCAGTTCACATGGCAGAATTTAGAGTCCAAAGTTTAACGTGCTCACATAGCCGCGCACGGCCGGTCCCCTCACTGACTTTGCCTGGCTACGGCCTGCCACCAACCGCAACCATACCTGTCAGGAGGCCCATAAATGTCAAGCGCCCGTCGCGCTTCGAACCCGGACTGTTATAACCGGGAACGCGTGCTCTCACCACGCGGAGTCCAACGCTCTACCAACTGAGCTACGGGACCGGCGTCATTAAAGGAAAAGGGCCACCTTTAACATGGGGATTGAAACTGAGATAGCCATCTTGTAGCCCGTGTCCGAAAACGTATCTGTCTACCTCCTTACGGCCGATTTCGGCCTCCATTCGTAGTTATCGGCAATTTTAAAAGAAAATACGCCAGGAATGCGTCCTTATCCCAGGAATGCGTTCTTATCCGACAATACAGCCACCCGCGGCGAGGCTTTGGTTTTTTACCAATCAGCTCCAACCAGCTCAGCTTTAACCAATCAGCTAATCTGACACAATCCGACGAGTCTGTCTTCTGAACGCTGATTGGCTTTAGTGTGACGTCATCGCTATGCCATCATACAGTAGGTGCCGTAGAGAGTATCAACATAGTACCAATATGTTTATTAGTTTTAAATACTTTTTAGCGAATTGTGCACTTCTGGCACCAGTTTTAAAAAGAAAATGAAAATTAATAAAGTCAAAATGAAAAACAACGATATCTTCATATTTCACGAAGGTGGCCCTTTTCCTTTAACGTCGTCATTGACGTCATTCTGACATCATTTGAGGCCAACCTATCAGAGCCTCTCGAAGAAAAATTTGAGCACAAGGTGTCATCGATGCCCAGAGCAGTCCTGAAAGTTTGGTGGCGCTATCTTCAGTGCTTCAGGAGATATCGACAGAAAAGGATACGGGATGTTTCGCCCTCCCCCCCCCTTATGGGGCGCGAGTAAGGAGTATATTCTCCCAGAACCAGTCCAACAACACGTCACAGCACGCGCGCCATCACCCGAAAGGTCACACCAGTGCACGGTAGGTGAAACAGCAGCGAAACGCTCCGCAACATTCACATTAGCCGTTCTCACGACGGGCTATCTGGCGAGTGGCGAATGCACCAAACTTGACTAAATCTACGCCAAATCTCTGTTACAATAAATATCTTCATATCATGCATTTACTGAAGTGTTTTTATCGAAAATAATGTCTGAAAAATTGCATAATCAGATATATAAGGAGCTATGCAACCCAAACTGATAACTTCTCAATGAAACTAATTCACATTGAAACTAATTTGACCTAATCTGCATCAAATGTGAACAAAATGTGTAGGTACCAGATAGCCGTCGTGAAAATGGCTATTATTGAATGTCATACATTGTGATCCAGCAGCGACATTAGGTTATGTTATTTCGCCAAAGTTTTTGCTTTTACATAAACGGTACGCGGCGATACACGCACAAAAGTATCGGTCATCAGTAGCTCCAATGTTCTAACATATCTGTTAGCAAGTATCTAGGCGATAAAATACTAGAAATACGTCGCTAAGTGAGTCGGTTAGCCCGCGCCCTGGGTGGCCACTCAAACGCATCCAATGAAGGTAGGTAATGCCGGTATCCTTCAGTGAGCCAGTTGCTTCCCCTGCTGGCTGCTTCTCACAGGTTTACTACAGAAAGACGAGAAAATGGCAAACGAAAGCTCCTTTGACACTGCACAATGCACATATATGTATACTCCGCACCATGCTGAGGGGTTTGAAGTTTTCGCGAACATCCCAAAAGTGGCGGCGCACCGCAGTTTTTGGGCACACCTGATCATACATTTTTGCTGCACATATTGTGAAAAATTCAGAACCAAGTCAATCGAGGTCATGTCACCAGCTCCCGTCAAGTGATCTTACCGATCTTACCCATTACCCAAAAAGCTCCTGTCATAGCTACACCGAGGCAGATCGCTTTGAATATTTCAGCGATTGATATGGGAAACAGAATGCATAAAATACATATCTCGAAATTTCGATATCAGTGACCTAGGGTCAGGCCAATTTTGCGACCTCTCTTTTATAAGTCAATGAGCGGAAATTGAAAGTGTCCCACAATTCTTTTTTTTTGGCTTGGGTGTCCGAGGAGAAAATTCCTCACCAAAAGGGGATGAGTGGTATATTGCTGGTCAAATTGCCCCCCCCCTCAAAAAGCAGGAAAAGGATGAATAGGATATATTTCCATACCTACAAACAAGGCCATAAACCTATAGGAGGTAGCGTCACTGAGCGATTTGTACAGCCAATTTCGAACCCATGACGCAAATATGTCGTCACACGGGACAAAACAATATGGCACCTCTAATGAGAAACAAGTGCAAGAAGTTGCCGGATGTAGGCAGCACTGACGTCACCGGGATCGAAAGCAATGACATCAGTACTGGACCTATGGCGAAGCAAAGTAGTGACACCACCTGTCTACAAAGGTAGATACCGTGGCCTAACCATACATGCAGATGCTCTTTCCTGACAAAATTGGAAAAGGAAAATTGCTCTTATAAATCGGAGGTGGGAGCGGAAAATTATTTTCATTTGAATGTCTTGTTCCACTTTTAACAAGTTTTGGGACACTGAAATGAAATGCGCCTCTCTGGACAAAAGTCATATTTGATACCCTAATAAAACATCTGGTTAAAGGTGATTGTGAAGTATTGAATAGTGACTGCATTTGTGGCCCCTGGCCCTCGTTATGCCAATGAGGTTATCTCAGGTCACGATAGGTATCAAACAGCTTTTCACTAATAACTTTTGATAGAAGCATGCTAGAGCGATGGAAACACCTTAGGTGCGTCAGCTCGTCGATACGAATGGGCTGATATGCAACAAGACCTTTTCCGGTCAGGTCAATGGTCATGACCTTGACCTATGGTCAAATTTTTAATGACCTCTAAAGGTCAACTTAAAGTTCATTGAACGCGTGTCGGAATGAGAAACACGATGCCGGTAAAAGTTTACTTGAACTAAAAGATATGAACTAATTATGATGAGTGAAAAAATATGGCATAAAAAAGTTTCCGCAAAAAAATAATTTAAAGGGACCCTCCCACCTTAACATTAGTTTTGAGTTGAGATAGCCAAGTTTGCGGCCAGGCTCAGAAACCACCATTGATCCTGGTCGCAACCCCCGCAGCTTTATGGTGTTCAAGAAATTTCTTCCCTTTACTTGCAGGGTGGGACCAGCGTGGTCCCTATCTCTTAACCATTACGGGAATCTGATGACGTCATCAGGCTTTCGAACATCCGTTGAATGTTTGACTAAAACGTTTTGTAGCACGCGGTGGTATATGCTGCTTTGCGCGCAACAAATGCCGCACTTTCAAATAAAGTCGCTAGGAACAGCGGAGATCCCAAAAAGTAAACAAAAGTAAAAGTCTAATATCTTGAAAACCGGTGAATATTTTTCGATGAAATTTGGTAGATATTCGTTTTTGCTCTTTCCGAACCGAGCGACATCACTTTCATGCCAATTCATTAACTTTTTTGAAGGTGGGAGGGTCCCTTTAAGCAGTTTTTGCTCTCAAGGCTAAGCAATTGTTCTTAGGGTCAAATCTAAAATCGTAAATCAGAAGAGTGGAAAAGGTCTATCAAATGCGCTTAGGCTTACCCGTGCCGTACGCCGTAGCTTTATTCATTTCCGAGTTATGAGCTGATTTGTTGACAATTGTCGAAATAGGCGAAATTTGAAAGTCTCTGGTGACCTACTGAGACCTTTGGACTGACCTACAAAATGACTTAAGTACTTTTGTCATGGTTTTTGACGCTCTTTCAAACGCCGGATACAGCGGGTCGTTATACGTGGCTCAGGGGCTGAGTTAGAAGGGGATGTTCAAACACCAGGAGCAGGGGTGGAAATCCAGGAGCCACAGCGCGGCGCCGGTTTCAGATCAGTACCTATGTCACAGGTCAGATCGATATCAGATCAAATGGCCGAAGTTATATGTCATACAATTAGATCTCGGTATAATCTATCTTTTATGATCCATCTTGCATCGTATGATCCATGATCCACCTTTGCAGGCCTGTCGTGCCCACTAGCAAATCGCACCTGCCAGCGCCGTCCTGGATGTCAGCACCGCCACTGACGGCTGTCCAGATTTCGGAAAATCTAAAATCACATGGAGTCAGAGCTGGTGAATGTCAGACCGTTTCGATGTTGTTGGTCAGTTTGATATGTGACGATACTCCGAAATTTTGGAGAAAAAAACTGATAATACTTGGAGTGTGTGCCATGCAACGGTTGTATGTTTTCGTTTGTTGCGGCATTTCCAGCATTCATTACTTAAAGGGACCCTCCCACCTTCAAAAAAGTTAATGAATTGGCATGAAAGTGATGTCCCTTGGTTCAGAAAGAGCGAAAACGAATATCTACCAAATTTCACCGAAAAATATTCACTGGTTTCAAGATATTAGGCTTTTACTTTTGTTTACTTTTTGGGATCTCCCCTGTTACTAGCGACTTTATTTGGAAGCAATAATTTGGCAGCCTTTAAGTGCGGCAGACGTTGCGCGCAAAGCAGCGTATACCACCACGTGTTAACGATGGTTTGTCTAAGATTTAAAAATCGTTAGATCTCCGCTGACGTCACAAATTCTAAGGGGGCATTCCAATGCATTAGCCCCTTAGAATCCGAAAACTGCAAGTTTGAAATTCCATATCTTGGAATTAAAGCATTTTTCGATGTTGTGAGTGCCCAAACCGGTATTTGCAGGCCATGGCCACCAATTTGGCTATCTCAACTCAAAACTAATGTTAAGGTGGGAGTGTCCCTTTAACTCATAGCCAATAACGCTTAATGGTTGTCCACAACTTCTTTATGACACCGTTTGGGCTTAAACTGCAATCAAATTGGTGAAAAACTGCGCCGGCCGTATTTGACACCCTTTCATGAAAGCGGCTCCTGCTGACGAAGTAAGGTCGCTGGGTGAAAGACACACGGCAAATGGTGCATCGGCCGGGAGGGGCGGAGATAGGGAAAGGCCAGCAGGAGAGACACGTTGTCCTCGTCCCTCATACTTAAAGGCGCGGATTAGACAGTAAACTCTTGAAACTCTTTACTTGAACTGTTTGGTAATTGGTTATCAAGCTCTTATGCGAGAGAAGTTATAAGCATTCAAGTAAACGAAGAAATGTTACTTTTATTTAAAGGGACCCTCCCACCCTCAAAAAAGTTAATGAATTGGCATGAAAGTGATGTCGCTCGGTTCAGAAAGAGCAAAAATGAATATCTACCAAATTTCATCGAAAAATATTCACCGGTTTTCAAGATATTAGACTTTTACTTTTGTTTACTTTTTGAGATCTCCGCTGTTCCTAGCGACTTTATTTGAAAGTGCGGCATTTGTTGCGCGAAAACAGCATATACCACCGCGTGCTACAAAACGTTTTAGTCAAACATTTAACGGACGTTCGAAAGCCTGATGACGTCATCAGATTCCCGTAATGGTTAAGAGATAGGGACCACGCTGGTCCCACCCTGCAAGTAAAGGGAAGAAATTTCTTGAACACCATAAAGCTGCGGGGGTTGCGACCAGGATAAATGGTGGTTTCTGAGCCTGGCCGCAAACTTGGCTATCTCAACTCAAAACTAATGTTAAGGTGGGAGGGTCCCTTTAAAATGGCTCCGATATTTATTCGCATAAAAAAAATCCGCTGTGAGTAAGGGTTTGTAATTCAATTATACATTTTAACACAAATTATATGCGAAACTTAACATTTTATGATAACCTACACCTTTAAAGATAAAAGGTCGGCATTCGATCAACGGTAATAGCAATTAGTACGCACAATAAGCAAGAGATTACACGTCCGCCGCAGCTGGTTTCACGGTTCTCGGTGCTGAAGAGTCGCCGTTTAGCGGGCGGCCGGCATCGCCCCCCGATTTCAGATCCCTGGCCTTTCGCCGGTTGGCCATGAGCCGGGAGACGCCGCACGCGGCCACCGCCGCCAGCACGACCAGAGGCACCACCACCGCCACCGGTATGACCCACTTCCGCCTGGCGGCGGCCTCCTCCCTCTCTCTCTCCTCCCTGGCGGCGGCCTCCCGCTCCTGCTGCTCCAGGAAGTCCTCCACGCGATCCGCCACGTCCTCAAAGTCGTTGCAGAGGTCTCCCCGACAGGTGGCCGTGCACGTGCGCACACCCTCGCTGGTGTCGCACTTGAAGCGTGGCTCCTTGACGCAGCCGCGGTTGACGTCGCGCAGTTCGGCTTCTTCGTCGCCGCCGTTCGGGTCCAGTTGCTCCTGGACGGTCACCTGTGTGCATAACAGCCAGCTGTAGGTATTCACCCCGCGAAACAACAATTCAAAGTTCACGTTACCAGAGGTCATCAAGGGTCAAATTTGGTTTAGTTCAACTATTTTCGAAAACCCGGCGCATAACTCGGGAACCAACAGAGCTACAGCGCCGCGGAAAAGCGCACTCCATAGATCTTTCAACGCTCTTTCGCCGTTATTTCCTCAGTTTTGACCTCAGTGCTCAGATCAACGGTATAGCCTCCAGAGGGCAAAACTCCAAAAATAGCAGTTTTTATGAAAAACGCTTTTTAGCAATAACTTTTGACTCAAGGTGACATTTATTTTGCCTGCATCGTGTTCCTCTCGTCGAGACGCGTTGAATGGACTATAATTTCACCTCAGGTCAAGGTCATAACCTGACCTGAAAAGGCCATCTTGCATACCAGTCGATCCGTATCGCCGAGTTGAACACATCCGAGGTGTTTTCATCGCTCTAGCATTCTATCAAAAGTTATTGTAAAAAACTGCTGGGGACCTTTCATGACCTAATATGATCTCAGGGGCATAATAAGAGGTAACGGATGCCGTTTTTTCGGTTTACCTTGTCAAGTTTACCTGTGACCCGATGTTTGAATGTTTGGAATGGCGTACGTCCGAGAGAGACGCCTTTCAATTTTCTGCCGTTGACCTCTCCCAACGTACCTATCCCATTGACCTCTCCCTCTCCCATTGGAGAGGTCGCAAAATTGACCTGACCTTAGGTCACCGATATCAATATTCCGAGATTTTCATTTTGTATATACTGCTACTCTTATCAATCGCTGAAAGTTTTAAGGCGATCGTTTATTCGGTGTAGCTATGACGAGGATTTTTTTTTTCTAAGATGAGGTCACTTGACGTAACCTGGTGACCTGACCTTACGAGACCTGGGCCTGAAATTTTTACAAAATGTGCAAAAAAGATGCATGAACAGGTGTGCCAAAAACGGCGGGGCTACGCGCCGCCGTTTTTTTTAGATATCTGCGAAACATCGAGTTTCATGTAAACATGACACACTGAAGCGGAAAATTGCACCCGTGACGCCTTCAATTGTGGCCCTGAGGACATCTCAGCTAAGGTCCTCAGCAGTTTTTTAAATAACTTGATAGAGGCATGCTAGAACCTTGAAAACACCTTAGATGTGCTTATGTTGACGATACGGATCGACTGATACAAAAAGGATCGGTTAGGTCGTGACATTATCAAAAGTTCAAATTTTCAAAATGACCTTTTCAGGTCTAGCCTAGTTCATTCGACGCGTCTCGACGAGTGGAACACGATGCTGGCAAAATAAGTCTCGTGTCTTTCCTCGGTGAAAAGTTATAAGGTGGGTACTTATAAAAAACAGCTAGTTTAAGTTTTTTGCCCTCTAGAGGTTAACGGTTGAAGTTAGGTCAAATAAAATCGATAACGAAAGCGCTTTCCGCAGCGCTATAGCTCTATTGGCTTTCGAGTTATGCGCCGGTTTGTCAAAAAAGTTAAAATAGGTTTTACCCCTTGCCGTTTCGCCCCTGATTGAGCTAGAGCTTCGTGGAAAAACGAGCGTGTTGCCCGTGGCGAGGGCTTACCCAATTAAAGTTCCTAGGTTGGCTGACCTTTCAGATCAGGTCAATGACCTAAAGGTCGGGGACATCGGGACCTGTTAGACACGTCGTGAAGTGTGGCTGAGATGTTTTTTTTTTTTTGGAGGGTGCTGATCACGAGATCACGAATATCATGTTAGTTTTGATCGCAGATGCATTTTAGCCAGGTCGGGTCAGATCAGATCAGGTCAAGCAGTAGGGGTTCTGCCGGGTATTCGTAATAGGTGTCTACCGCCTCTGACAGCTTCGTAACATGTTACAAAGGCACCACAACTACTTCGTAAATGTTAATATGGTGGCTAAATTCGAATTCAGCTAAAAAAGCTAGCCTGGAAGCATGTAAAACTCGAAAAAGTGAACCGAGGTCGTCAAAGATCAGTGAACTGACCTGACTTTCAAGTGACCTTGACACCCACCCCAATGCATGGGAGCAACATAATATCACATGTTTGAACGCTTGAAACTACGAAAAGACTGCAAACGCGCGGCTGATGCCAGCCGACATACGCCGAATCGCGATTCCGACCAAACCTGTTCTCGAAAAGTAGGTCACAGGTCAAAGGTCATTTATGTGAGGATCATTAAATTTTTAGGGTAGGTGTAAGATTGACTGACGCGACGGCACTAAAAGTTTCGTCGCGATCAGATGCTTCTACGTGGGGTATTCGCGGAAAAAAAAACGAGGAAAACCCACTTGAGCCCTATGCGGGCGAGGATTGGCCTCGCCGGCCGAGGAGGAGGGGGCGGGTGCCCCCCCCCCAGGATTTTTTCGCGATAGCTCCGAACACGCCGGCGATAAAGAGCTGAAACTTGGCATAACTGACCTTTGATTCAAGCCGGATCTTTTGACACCAACTGCAGTTTCGGTTCAGGTCAGGTCACTGACCTATGACGTCATAAGTGAACCTCCGCACGGTCTTCAGATGTCGCAGCTTCGCAACGCCCTCACTGCCAGAGGAGCTTTCACAGGGAAATGAAACTTGCAGGATATAATAAACATTACGAGTCTCACAACGTGTAGTGAACATAGGTATCCCTTTAATGATCCATTCAATTGTCGTGATACAATAGCTACACCATTGGTCTATTCGCGCCCCCTGGCGGCTGGCACAAATGCCATTGGCGCAATTGAAATTGAGGTACTTTTTCATAAAAGGGCAGAAGTTCCAGTGGCGCGGGAACCGGGGGGATGGGGCTAGCGGGGGCTGTGCCCCCCCAGCTTTTCGGCTGGTGGGCTCGTAATGTATTTGAGCCCCCCCCCCCCCAGCTGGAGGAATCGAAATAGGAAATCTACCAACATAATTTCATAGATTCATACATAAGCGCGGGAACCGGGGGAGGGGGCAGTGGGGGAAGCTTGCCCCCACAACTCTGCGGCCGTGGGGGCGGTGCCCCACAACTTTTCATGAGGCCAGGAACCGTTGGGCAGCTTGTCCTCCCCAAATTAGGGGTTGTGGGTCACAAAGGAAGAAAGCATGTAAGTGAAAAATCCACCTCTTTCACTGGTTCGGCAACTCCTTTGGCAGATTAAAACCTTTACTCCAGGTTGCCAAAACGGTAGTTTCTTCACTCAGCTGAGACGGAATACCTCACTTTTCTGCATTTTTCGTTTTTTTTTGTTGTTGTTGAAAAGGCCAAAGACTGAAAAATAAGTGGCCTAAAACCGGTGAGAAAACTAGATTTGGGGGTACCCTAGGTTGATCTCTATTATGGTTCAGCCCCCCCCCCCAGTCTGGAAGAAGTTCCCGCGCCACTGAGAAGTTCTCATAAAGATGCTGAAGGATGTTTACTATTTCAGTGGACAGTGATATATAATAAAAACCCGATTTTTCTTTCAAAATATCAGTCTGAAAATGAGACATGAATTGCACATTTTTATAGCTATATAGCCGCTCAAAATACAGCAAAAAAGCTAAGACGCCGTAACATCTTTGATGACGTAATGAGCCCTGCTAATTGGCTTCGTTGGAGAGCTTGGGCATAAAAGTACCTAACTATCCAGTGGTGGACTGGAAATAGTGTTTACAAAATACTAAACATGCCATTGGATTCGTGGGAATGTTGGTGGCGCAATTGGTCAGGAGGGCGCAATATACCTAAACCCACTTTCCCCTACTAGCTGCACCAAAATCCAACTATCTGAAAAATGTCACGGCTAACTACATTTTGCAATTATATGCTATAAGAAATATGAACCGCTTTAACCCGCGCCCTGGTGGGGTCTGTTTATAACGCGACCTGGTGGGGGGGGCTATCTTTTGCCCCCCCCCTCGTATCTCCGAAACTGCTGGACGGATCCGCAAAATTCAAACGGCGTTCGAAAGGCCTGTCAAATTTGTTGAAGGAAACCAAATTTCATTGACCTCGGGGTCACCGATGACGTCACAGGTCAGGTCAAAGATGAAATGTTTCACCGTTCACGGGTCTTCTAGGGAATGCGCTATAACACCGAGGAAAACGCATTTTGTCGAGAATCAGCGATAGGGCGTCAGTTGCCTAGTAGATATGTTGCTATTAGAGGTCACTGACAATACCAGGTCAGGTCACAGGTCAGGTCACCAAGGGTCACAGGTCAGCTCACATGTGCCCAACATTACTAAGGTTGTGTGATGCATGTTTTATGGCCAATTTTTCATTTCCAACTCAATGGTGTTGGTTATAAGACTATCAGGTACGGCTTAGGTCACTTTCTGGTGAAGTTCAGGTCAAGGTCAGGTCAAGGTCAGGCCAAAAAAGGTCAAATTCTAGAGTTGAAAGTTTTGCATAAAATGGGTATTGATTCGATGCAGCTCGTCACGGGGAGTCTAATGGTGGTCTTTGTTTTGCGCTACGGGGTCTAAAATTGCTAAAAATTGAGTTTGACAATTTGACGTCATCAATTTTGAACAGTTTTTTTTTTTTCGCTATAACTTCGCCAAAAAAAGAGGTATCAATCTCAAATTTGGTATGTGGATGGAAGGCGGTAAGGACTATCACATATATTCCGGTTTTGGCGAAATTCAAAAAACTTTTTGGATTTTTTGATTATTATATCCAAAAAAATATTTTTTGATTTTTTGGGGGTCAAAATCCGAAAACTTCAAAAATCCGAGATAGCAGTTTTGTAGCCCTGTTGATTCTACAGCTTTTATGTCTTTATCATTTTTCTGTATTTGCAAGGCTATAGGCCTGACAGCTCTTCCCGCGAAACCCTTTTTTGGGTCGAAAACGGCAGAACATGACGTCACTCTGACGTCATTTCCGGCCAACCTATCATAGCCTTTGGAAAATTTTTTGTTAACAATGTGTAAAATTGATGTCCGGGAGGGTACTGAGAGTTTGGTGACGATCGGCGCAGCGGTTCTTGCGATATATTGAAAACTCTGGAGGGGGGCAAAAAATAGCCCCCCCCCCACC